ATAGAGTATGAATGCTATGGAATGATTATTACGCAATACGGAGTATGAATGCTATGGAGAAGATAGTACACATTGCAAGCAACAACAAGCTCAAGAAATGGGACCAACATTACACAAGAAGCAAGCACGGCAATAATGCCAGGGACTTTCTATAAAGCGTTATACTTCAGAGGCGACAGGAACAGTGGAGTGCCAGATAATCCTCCAACTGCACAGCGTCATTTAGAAAGAGTTGTTTAGTAATGTTACGTCAATGCACTCCACATACTTCTACTGTATTTACATACCAGCATACTCACGAGTTGTTTAGTATTGATATGTAAATGGACTCCACATACTTATACTATATTGTCATACCAGCATTCCCACGAGCTGTTTAATATTGATATGTGAATGGACTCCTCATACTTGTACTATATTGACACACCAGCATTCCCACCGAATGGCAGAATACAAGCACCTTGTAGTCCTTCTTCTTCTTCAGATTCTCGAGCATCACCAAGAGTGTCTGTGGTGCCATTGTGCACGCAGTCGATGTCTTAGCATGCTTCATTTAAACAACACACAGTGACAGTACAGGCTCTCAATCTACCTGTGCGCAACGTAAGCTTAAAAACTAGAGTGCATATACAAGTATGGCACAGCTGCCATCACACCCGGGTAGTAGATCAGCGTGTTATACGAACATGGCCAGATCAGATTTCCATGCGAAAATGCGACATAAAAAGATCCAAACCCCTCAGCCACTGTTATGGTTACGTAGGCTATGAAAACACACCCTAAATTAAACAAATAAGATGGGAAAGAAGCGAAGAATAGCTTTCAGGCAGGTACAGTAAAACGTGTTTGATACATATACTTGCCCACATATGCTCATACGCGGATCGCTGCTCTCAGTCAAACTCAGATGAATTCAATCCAACGATCACTGGCAAGCGTATACCTTGCCTGATTCCACACATACCCGCAATTTGGCACTCTCAAACGTTTTGGCCACTTCCCACCGCTTGCATGTTTCAGGCAATTCACTAGAATGCAAAACGGGTTAGAATTACAAAACAGGTCAGAAATACAAAAGGGGTCCGGAACACAAAACGGGTCAGAAATACAAGATGGGCCAGGAACACAAAGCGGTCAGAAACTCAAAATGGGTCAAAAATACAAAACAGGTCAGAATGTGAGCCGGTGGTGGACGTCAAGAAGACGCAGAAGACATCATTTGACAGTAATGATCGTGTGCGTGCGGGTGTGCATTGTATGTTGATACACACGCATGTGCGATTGTTCGTTGGTCACATCCGTAAGTCTGATTGACGGAAATCGAAGATCGCAAGGGTAGACCATGGAGGGTAGACAATAAGGGTAGACCATGGGAGGTATACCATGGGGGTATGTCATAGGAGTTGGACAATGGGGGGTTTCTATGTACATTCGTTGTCATGCCGATTGCGCTACTTATAAGTAGCTAACCACTCAGTCCACGCACGCCTCTCATCGGGTTCACGTACACTCACTATGCATACATCACTCATATGTATTATATCAGCTACTCTCAGTACATATAGAGACTAACCTACACTCACTGTACATACATCACCCATATGTATTATATCAGCTACTCTCACTCTCACTACGTATACGCGTGCATGCACACAAATACACATACCGTCCAAAGACAACAATGTCCCGATCGGCCTGGGTGGCTGTATTGTGCTCATCCTGTTTCCTATTTTTGGGCTCCTCACTCGCCAGCGCAGGATGGAGCAACAACTGTTACGGAACATAAAAGGGACAGGTTTGCTACATATGTGAATACATTTCGACATAGGTGTACATAAGAAGGTATACATGGCGTATGAAGGAGACAGGTGTGCTGCATATGTGAATACATTTCGACATAGCAATGCATAGGAGAAGAATTAAGGCGCAATAGGGTTCGTGTAGACTGCACCTCTTCGTGAGATGATTGAGTATCACAGATACGCCCGTTCATTCTATAGCATGCGCCACACACAACCGATTGTAAGTGCGACGTGTGATAAGTAAAGAGCGGAGAGTCTGACCTACTGCAAGCACTCAACAACACAGTGATCCGAGGACATACTAATCATAACTCCTAAGCAGATGGCTGACATGATGCATTGTGACATGATGCATTGTGTGTGTGTGTGTGTCTATGAGTGTATGTGTGTGTGTGTGTGTGTTTATGTGTGTGTGGTGGGGTGTGTCGGGTTTGTGTATGTGTGTGTGTGTATGTATCTATGTATGTTATGTATATGTATTAATTTAATATAGCAATATCTACATTTCAAGTACTATGGATAGCTACCGTACATATTAGAAGTCGACATACACGCAATTGAGCCTGTAACCATACGGAATCTGAAAAAAAGAAACATACTTGATAACCTTCACACACTACAACATACGCAGCAGACCCACGTGGTATAAGAGGGCACAATAACCATGCACGCGGGATACAGTGGTTGTTGGGGGTTGCTTATTGTACATACAGTGCACGTACCATCTCTATCAGGCTCATCCAGCCAAAGAACTTCTTCTCCTGCTTGGTCCATAGTTCGCAGCTGGGGTATTGGCGGGTGCGTGTAATGGTATGCGGTTAGGGTTTTCATTGGGGAGTAGGGGGTGGCGATTGGCATGGCGACGGATAACGAGGCCAGTTGATTAACATTCGAAGCCATATATGACTTCTAGAAGTAGTACACCTATAAACAACGAGCAAAGGAAGTGGGGTACAGAACACGTGCGAGTATCTATTATACATCGTCCCTAGAGCAAGTGGCTTTGCAGTAGACTTGCGACGAACAATGGGTGATCTGGAATGTACATGCGATGTACAGAACTTTCTTTGGTCCTCCTGTTTTCTCGCCCTGAACAGTGTGAGCTGATTGGTCACCTGTTGAGTGCACCGAATAACACACAGGGCTACCAAATCGTTCAACGGCCATGACACATTTGCCTGTGATAGGTACCAGCCGCCTACATGCATACTGGAGATTGCACTCATGCCAACGATTCACTTTTAGGGTCATGAATGCAGGATCGTTGCTGGTAAAAACGTAAACTAAGAAAGGTCGCATCCCATATGAAGGTGTGAAGCATCACCCAGTTGATCACACACAAAAACGTATACTTTGAAATGCATGTTAAGGAATGAGAAGGGTACAGCATTACTCAGTTGATCAATTAAAAACGTATACGTACCATTTGCCAGCAAGGGTCCCACTTCCGCAGTGACATGGCTTTTTCTTGCGGATCTATGGGGAGTTGTAGAACAACACATGGAAAGCAGATCGATAAAAATGCGAGACTGCCGCCATATCCGTCTCTCCATGGCCACAACTTAATAGACACTTGGCATCAATTCACACATATGGTAGCCACTGAGACAACCAATGCTATCACCCTAGCCCACTGAGACAACCAATGCTATCACCACACATGTGTGTAGGCATAAACAACAGACCAAGAACTGATGAACAACACTAAACTAACTACTATACAATCGACGACAAGTATGAGCGGACATAAGCGAGCATAACTTTTTTGTATTCGAAATGCATGTACGTACCACTGATTTGACCACCGGGTTCTCTATGATCCGTCGGTACATCTCCTGCTGTTGGTTTCCCATCTTGCAGTACACCACCTACGGGTGAGATTCGGTTTAAGGTTAAGCTATGGGTGAAAGGGGGAGAGAGAGAGAGAGAGAGAGAGAGAGAGATATATATATATATATATATAATAATATATAATAAT